TGCTTTGGACAGCCTGGCCACCAGCACATTTGGTAGACATAGATGTCCACTTGGGAGCAAGCTTTCCATGGGCAGGGGACCCAGGACCCCCAGGGCCAAACCGCTCAGCAATCTCAGAGAATAATGGCTGGTAGTTGAGTGGTAACAGGTGCCAGACCCTGAGCTAAGCACTTTTGGATACATTATCTCCACTCAATGGATGAAGAAAGGGAGGCTTGGGTGATGATGTGACTTCTCAATATCAGTGCTGGTATTTACCGGGACCTGGTCTAGGATCTCTGCTCCTCATGGCTGTGACTCCTGCCTCCCAGGGAAGATTCTGTCAGTGTCCAGCCAGTGTAGGGTTGCACTGAAGCCAGGTGTCTTCTGGTCAGAAACACCTGACCGACTCCTTTTATCCTGAAGATTCAGCCCAGAGGCGGGAATATTTGTCTCCCTCATAAGTCTGCCAGAGTCCTACAGGCTGCCCCACACAATTCTCTAGGGGTCTGTGTTCTTTGAGTTATGGGAAGGAAGTCAAGTATGGATGACCAAATCCTGTGACAATGAACAAGACCTTACTTACTATTTCTTCTCTTACACTGTACATCAGCCCACTAGATGGGCATACAGGGGCTTATGTACACGCTTGTTCATTAAAGAGATACCAGCACTATTCTTTCATCCATTTGTGAGGCACTTTGCATTTCCATATGTATTTTTGCATTTACACATTAATTCATGCATTTATTACTTTTTAAAAACTCTTTTCATCTTCATTTACCTCTCCATCCATCCAGGCACACGTGCCTTTGTGCTTTCATTCACTCATTCACCTATTTGCTCATGTATGCATTTGTTAGTTCGTTCATTCAACAAATGAAACACTTTGAAATGAATTGAAGCCCTTGAAGAAACGTGGAATAGTTTAACCATGACCCTGGGTAGACCGTGGGCATCTTTCTCATCACTGGGAATAGAGTCACATGAAGCTGGATAAATAGTGCCAGGGGCCCCAAGAAGAAATTATTGCCCTGTAAAAGGCACAGCAGAACCTATCCACTGTTACTGTGAAATCCAGATGCCACTCGTGTGCTGGGGTCTTTGAGGCTGTCCTCTCCAGGGCTTCTCCATTGCCTGAGAATTCATAGGGTCCCCCAGGACCGCCTCCATAAGTCTTGTGACCCTGAGCCATCCTTGGGCTCCTCCTGGAACGTGAGACCTGGAAGAATCCCCAACGGGGAAGCAATAGACAGTTGAGTCCAGGAACCAGGACAGTGGTGTGACGGGATGGACAGGAGGGGCTGACTGTCCAGATGAACTCGTGAGGAGCATGAGCGGGCAGGAGGTGCAGGGAAGGGAATCGCGGGAATAAAAAAATACCGAAGGTCCTGCAGAACTAACATTTCCTTTTCTTCCTCCACCAAAGAGTTTCCATCCATTGTCTTTTTTTTTTTTCCGAAATTCACATTATCAATGAAAGACAGGTGGGATGAATGCTAAGGTGCCTGTTTCTCTAGTTAAGATTCTATATTTGGAAGCACAGAAACCATAAAATGCAATGCAAAGATGAGGTGAGATTTCTAGCAATAGTAGTAATGTTGACTGCAAGCCAGGCTAAGAGCGAGAGTATTTTACACTTGGACACGAAGTATTTTGGGACGGACCTGCCTCCCCCACATGAGGGAGGATTAGACATAACTTTTGTGTCTGAGTTGGTGTCATGAATATAGGTTGATTGTTCAGAGGGCTCAGATGTGGACTTCTTTTGGTTTGCTGAGATGGTTATTTGCTTCCCCACTCAACTTGCCTTACTGTGCATGGCTCCAAATACATAGAGGTGTTTTTTTTTTCTGCTTCACAGATTGTATTTCAAGTATCTGGCTACCCTGGCTACCAGTATCCTTTAATAAGTAGATCATCAACCAATGGCTTCCATACACGCTGGCTGTATGGGGCATCTGTTGGTCCCGGAAGATGTTTTCGGCCTTCCCCGCTCCATGAATACTTTCCTCACTGCACGGAAGGTGGCGTGGGTGGCCAGTTGGAAGCTCACCCTGCCTTCCTTTCGATTGTACTTAACTCCCAAGGTGCCCTTCTTCCCCCAGGTACTCCTGAAGTCTCACCCCAAGAAGCCAAGCTCAGGTAGCTTATAGGACCTATGTGTCAGAACCCCACCCACTTGAATCTCAACTCATGGCCAATCAAAAGAGTTCTTACTACCGCTGGTTTCCTAGGTAACTGAAGCAGCCAGTTGGGAAGGGCAACAGGAAAAGGAAGACACACAGGCATGTGGCTCCCCCTCTGTGTTCATCCTTCATCCACCTCGGGCCCAACCCTGCCCTCACCGTCCAACCATCCCTTTGATTATTGCTCTACTTGATTTAAAATACACAGCCATAAACACTCAGGGCAGCCGGCAGCATGGCCGGATATAATATTAATTTCTTTTCTGGTTTATTTGTGAAGGAGTCAACCATATAAATCACTTTAAGCCCCTAAGACAGAAAGTGAAATCACGTCTTGAAACGGAAAAGTATAGTATGTTACCATTAAAATCTAAGAAGAATATGCGATCAATTTGAGGCTCCTAATGTAGATATAGTTTTGCTAATCTTGCTTTAGATTATGCGAAATGCTCAGAAAGTTTTCTCCCCCCCTCTCTGTTTTAGCGGGAAGCGTTGGGTACCTATCAGCGGCGTATCATTAGAAAGTCTGCTGTCTGCTGGACAGTCTCCTTGTAATGCCATTTTTCATGACTTGTTTAATTAACAACCATTTTTGACCTAGACTTGTTATAAAAGTATTGCCATTCTCTCCTGGTAAATTATGTCTAATGAACATATTTGCATGTTATCAGATATAGCAATATATCATTTCAAATTTTGGCGTTTAAGCCTGCATCACTCAAAACAGCTTTTGTGGATTAGTAAGCAGGTGAAATAAAAAATCTCATTTCATATCTGACATTAATAACTTTCAGGGGGAATGAGCATTGGCATTTATGTCTGGACCAGAATCGAGCCCAATGTCCTAGAAACACAAGGGCAGCAGACAAACCTACTCACCAGATAGGAAAATAAATCATGCATAATGCAGAATTTCTACCTTACATGTTAATTAATGTGTGCAATCAATTACTGATGTTACAATATGAGAAAGAAACTGGTGGGGAATGGGGTAATAAAAAATACCTATAGATTTATCTGCTTCTTTTTTCTATTTAAACAAATAGTCTTCAAGCCTGTGAATGCTGTGTTGAGACATGCTCTGAATAATAAGCATCATAAAATCTAATCAGATTTATAAGAGGAATTGATTGTTGTGGCAGGAGGAGAGGGTGGAAAATAAGCCGAAATTTAAGTGTTAATTTTTATGCTAATCCACAGTGGCTTCATATGAAGCAATTTTGTTCTGCGCCACAAATATAAAATTGTCCCTTGCAGAGAAATGTCAGCTTGCTAGACCTGAAAGCAGTAATTTATTAGGTATGTTTCTATTAGTATGTGTCACAGTTGTTAGCAGGCTATACACACAATGGTGCTTCATACTTATCCTCCAAGTCTCAGAATGTTTCAGCTCAGTGGCTGGAACGTGGGGCATTAATACATTATCATATGCGGGGTGGTCTGTGCCCTGTGGACAAAAGGCTATTTAATACAATTTAATGTCATTCTGAGAAGAAGTGGAAAAATAAAGACGGGGAATAAAATGGCATCTGTGTGTTTCACAGTGCACTCATGCACAAACCCTCAGTTTAAGAGGTATGACATTTCTGCCAAGAAAAAGAATAAAACTGGGGCATTTTTTTTTTATAACCTGTTCCCCACTGCAGTATTTTCTAAATGCTATTAAGTGATCGATTTACACGGCCCCATGATGATGTCATCCATAAGAAGGGGAATGCAGATGACAGCAAAATACTAGTGACAGTGACCTTGTTCCAGAATCCTTGGAACCCTGTCAGCTCTGCTTCCAGTATATGGTTTCAAAGAATGTACTTTTTGGACAATATCTAGTTACTGGGTAGTGAATTAATAGAGTTAAGGGTTCTGATGCAATTCACATATAGGTCAATTACATGCACCAACATCTGCTCTGTCACTATCATTTGCATATAGCATTCATATGTTAATGATGCCTCTTTTTACTCAAGTAATATATTTAAAAAACAAGATTTGCATATCAGTTTGGATCAGTATATTACAAGCAATTTATCATTTTCTCCTTCTTGTTATGATTTTAAGAACAATATCTTGAGTGATGGCTGCTATATTTGAGCACGGCTCTGATTTATACAAGAAACCCTTCAGTGGGAAAGCTTCTATTCTAAAGCTGCTTAAAGCCTTATAAATCAATAATGACACAGATGGACTGGTGATAATCTATTTAGAATGCCTGATAGCAAATATTGTTGTACAGATGATTAGAGTGGTAACTGTTTTAGCAGAAAGCCTTGCCTCTCTTTGTAAATGGTAAGTTTGAACAAAAAAGTGCTCGCAAGCAGACTTGGTGTCAGGAAATCTCCGGGCTGGGGTCTGGATTGCAAAGGGGAAAACATGGGGGGAGGAACAAAGGGACTTCCCGCGCTCCTGCCAATATAATCATATCAATCCCTGTTTCTTTAACAAAACAGGACCTCTTAATGGAATTGTGTCTTCAGGTGTAAATAGCATTAAAAGCTGCTTCTCCTCTCCTCTTTGCCCTGATACAGCACAAGGAGTGAGAAAATAAAGTGGAGGTTGTCAGAAGTGGCAGCTGCTTGGAATCCTGATAAATATAAGCTTTTATTGATCTGATGAAAATGAAGGATCCCAGTGCTAGGCAGTATTTAGCTTCTTGTCTACAGCACGTCACCGGTGGCCTTGCATTGGGATAGATTTTCATTCTCCTACACGGGATTTGATTTCATCTTTAACCTTTTCAGTTGAATTTCCTTGACCTCTGCGTATTGCTGTGATTTGGTGAATTTGTTACATTTCACTTTACATCATTTCTTTCTATATTTCCTTTTGTGATAGGGAACTGGGACGCCCCTCTGGCGATCTGTCAGTGCCTGGATCAGCCACATCCTTTCTGGGGTGTTTTCTCACGAGACTGACAGTCCTTAAGACAAGTATGCCGTTAAGCTGCTAAGGTGAGTCTTAACGATATTAGAACTCTCTGCCCTGGACACACATCGTTTCCTCCTGCTTTGTGGAGTTGACCTAACACAGATCCCGACCAAACAGCCCTTCTCTCTCTCCTCCTGGCCCCAGGGGCTTCCTCCTGGCCTTCCCCCGCCCCCCCCCCCCCCCCCCCCCCGGCCCCCCGGGGGGGGCCCCCGGCCCCCCCCCCCCCCCCCCCCCCCCCCCACCCATCACCCCGGTAGGACTCCCCTGCCTGCCCAAGAGCTCTGGCTGAGTGGTGGCCCACAGGACCTTTCCCCAGGGCCGGGAGGTTTTCCTTTGTGGTTTGGGTGTGTGTCTGGGGAATGGGTGGGGAGGGGGGGAACAAAGGACTCACAAAAAAAGGGTTATTTTCCCTTCTGTGACTTAATTCCCTTCTCAAGTTTTCTTCTGGGATAAATCTGAGGCTTCAGTTCGCAATCCTGAGGTGCCGCTAACATATTCTGGTTCCGAGAAAGGGCCGCTGTTATTTTGAGTAGTTTTGATACAAGCAAATCAAAGTGAAGATTTGAAATAGCTTTTCTGAAAGCCCAAGCTGAAGTCATAAATTATTCTGCACCATGATTCTTTCTGATAGTAAAACCATACCTCTCAGCCTGACATTGCTGAAATGTGCAAAAGTGAAAGTTAGAAATAAAATGAAACATTTAAATCTTGGCTGTTGAGAACCTCAGATAGACATCAAGGCCAGTCGATAAAGGCCCCTATCAATTAGGCTTCTATAGTTATCCTTAGATTCGGTTTATTAGCAGTTGCCCAGGTACGGGGTTCCAGCGTGAAGAATGGGCAGGGCCAGGTGAAACGCAGGGAGAGACCGTAAGCTGGAAAGTGAGGGTGTGGCGTGCCAAGGTGCGCGTGGTGGCAGGGCACAGGGCCACGGGGCGGGGGGGGGGGGGGGCTGCCTCACCTCGTCTCGTGGGAGAAAATATTTGCTGCAAAAGGGTTGGAAGTTTTCCCTTTTTTTACCCCCTTTATTTGAGTTAGAAAGTGTTGATTTCACACCGTGGTGAGTGTTTTCCGTCAGCCTCTTGGTGGGTGTATTCCGTGTTAAGAACAAGGAGCAGTGAACACCAGCGGCCCGGCGGGCCTCCCCCGGCAGCGGGGACTTCTGCAGGGCCCCGGCTCTTCTCTGGCGGTGGAGAAACCAAGGGCCTCCCGGCCCCGGGCTTCCAGACCGAGCTGTTTGGCTACTTCCCTCCTCAGCATATCACAGGCAGAGCAATTTTTGGTTCCATAGCTGTTTGGTTGGGAAAACAAGACTGTGATTGCCAGTAAGGTTTAGAATTTGTCTGCCAGATAAGGGAATGTCTGTGAAGACTATTTTCCCTCTTGGGAGGCAAAACACAGATGGGGGAGTTAGGAGTCTTACAATATTTAGCTGCTACATTGATGGTAGGAATTCTGCTGCGTGGATGCTCACAGTTTCCGAAAGCCCAGCTTAGCGCCACTGCCGAGGGCCTCGGGTAGAAGAGACCCGTGAGGCTGGCTTTCCCAGGGGAGCCGCTGCCCCAGCTTGTTCTGGAGCATTCCGTGCTCTGTGGCTCCTGAGCGGGAGAGGAGGCACTGCAAGGGGGCTAACCATTTCCCTTGACCTGCATCGGACGGGGAAGGAGAGAGAAGGCTGAGCTACCACATCTGACCAGGTGCGGGGACTGAGCGGGAGGCTCCGGACTGACTTGAGCTTCTTGTGCGAATGGACATGGCCATCCTTCGGGTGGTTTCTCAGACTCTAGAATAAGACACGCGCCAGTTTCGCTTCCGGCACAGAGGCCCATGTTTTTAGAGAGTTGATCACCTGGGCCTCAGAGAGGATAAAGGACAATGATGTGGTGTTCTTGGGACTGGCGGTGAGAAGGTGGGGAGATTTTCCTGCCCGGAAAATGTAAATCTTGGAATGATTTTAGGGTCATGTGAACTGGAAGTAGGATTCGCAACCTTCTATCTGAGAGCGAGTTTGGGGCCCTGGAGACCAAGAGAGGGGACAGGTCTTAGGGACAGGCACCTCCTTCCAGGCCTGTCGCTAACTTCCCAGCTCCAGCACACGGGATTCTCGGGCCCTGGAGTTGGACGCTTTCTCCAAATAGTCTGGAATTGTGATGTTCTAGTTGGGCCATTTCTGGACTCCTAAAGGTACCTGTCAGGACCCTTGCTTCTGTCCTCTCCAGGACTGTCTTCCCGATCCTTTAAAATGGACACTTGGCCTTTCAAAGTGTTCTATAAAACGCTATACACGTGCAGCTTTGGGACAACCAGTCACCCTGAAGCACCATTGCATAGAAACCCCAAGCAACCTAGTAGTAACCGAACCCCTCACACGTGCCAGAAAATGATTTAATAGCCCACCACAATGTGGATTTCCAGAGAATCGCCAGCAGGGACAGGAGGCAGAGCCGTGAGGTGTGGCTGTCCGGCCCCCCTGAGCTCCACCCTTCAGAAAGACCCTAGGACTTGCAGAGGCCAGCGCATCTCAGAGACCATAGGACCTCTCGCCTCCGTCCGACGGACACAGCGTGGCCCCTCTGAGGCGGGTGTGGGCAGGACCTGGGACTAGGGTGCTGGCCCCGCTGTGGCTCCGGTTGTCCTGAGGTGGCCCCGTTGTCCTGGCACAGCTGCGTGAGTCAACAGCCCTCCTGCAGCAGTAATTACTTGAGTTAAATGCTGCGGTAGCGGTACTCTGGGAGCACAGAGGAGGGAGTGAATAATTGTAATTTCTATGTGATAATGATGATAAGCCCTGCATATGTGTGTGGGGCTTTGCGTCGTATTTGATCTTCACCAGGAGATCTCCGGGCTCATGGAGGTAAAGATCAAGATTCCCGCAAACTCCTCTGTAGCGGCTGAATGAGGTAGGAAAGTAAGGTCTCGTTATTCTCACGGGGCCCCAAAGAAAACTCAAATCAGAGATCATTCGAACTCTGGAGAACAGGTACGGTGGAACTGGTTCTGGTCCAGAAGTTTCTTGGGCTTATCTTAATCCTCACTGTGTTCCCAGCAGGTAGATACTGTCATTAGTTCCATTTTCCAGATATGGAAACTGGGAGCAGAGAAAGTAAATGGACTCCCTCAGGTCACACGGCTAGCGTGTGGTGAGCATGCTTCTTCCTGATTTCGGAGCCTGATCCCTCTGCCCGGGAGCAGTCCTGGGTACAGTCTTAGACAACACAGGCAAGCTGCCTGCCCTTAAGGCTCTTGTGTAGTGGGGCTAGGAAGCAGCAGACAAGGGAACCATGGATAAGATGATGTCAGATAGGGGTAAGTGCCACGAGGAATGTCTGGGACGGGAAAGAGGGAGGGAGGGTCCTTGAGAGGGGTGGGTGGTTAGGATGGCCCTCCTGAGGAAAGCACATTGCAAATGAGAGGGCTGAAGGACATACAGAAGCCAGCCAGGTGCTGGTCTCGAGGAAGAGCATTTCTGGCAGAGGGAACAGCATGTCTGAGGGACGGGGTATAGGCCAGTGAGGCTAGAGCACAGTGTGCCCTGGCGAGAGGGTAGGTGGGTTGGAGGGCCTGGATTGGGCATGGCTTTGTAGACCATAGTGAGGAGTGTTGCCTTAGTTTTATGTCTCTGTTGCTTTTGACCGGCGGGTGTATCTTGAGAAGCTCTCGGGCCCCTGCCCTCAGAGGCAACATGGTGACTCATGATAGTGCCCAATGGCTGCCCGCTGGAGCTTCCTGTGCAGCCCGGGGAGGCCCGAGCCGACCCCCCCACCCCCCGGCCAGCTGTGGGCTTGGGCACAGTTGCAGGTGGAAGGCTGTGGGGGCCCCCCTTAGTCAGGGAGCTTCACCTGCCTGAGTCCGTGTGGGGGTCTGGGAAGCGTAGGCCCCTCCCATGCCTGACTCCAAGCTGAGATGTGAGCACTGTTTTGTTGTTAATGCTGATTCAGGGGTTGTCTGGTAGCATGCGGACTCTTGGTGATGATAGTCTGGCCTCTTTTGCCCTCAGAAGCCTGGTTGCTGGACTCTAGGAGGGTGAGCAGACACCTTGGCGATCAACGCTTCCTTTATTTTAGAAGTTTAGAGACTGAGGCCCAGAGAGGGCCCAAGGCACGGTTGTGCCCAGCCCGGCTCTCACCTGAGCACAGCAGACGGGCCCTCTGGCAGCTCCATGCAGCTTGGGGGCCACTCTGAGCTGGTGCAGGCCGCGGCAGGGGCTGGGGCTGTCCTGACGTTTGTCTAGTCACTCCCAGAGCACCTCGTACGGCTCCTGGCATGCCGAGGGGTCAGCAGTCATCCGGGGGCATTGATTGATAACCTCTCGCCTCTGCAATTTGTAATCATTAGAATTTGTTGCACCTTGCTTTAAGCAAACGCAATCGATATGTACCAAATCCACACTGCTTTCCATATTCCCTGGAATGCAGGGATTGCCAAGCCTAAGGCCTACTTGGGTTTGATGTGTGCCGACATTCAGGACACGATGAGGCCGGGACTGGCTGGGAGGTCCTGATCTCTGCACAGGTGACTGAGGGTTGCCCCTCAGGTGTTCTATCTAATAGGCCCATCTTCGGGATACAGAACCCTGCAGGTTTTGAACAAACATGATCAGTGCTAAAGCCAGCTCAGCTATGGGAGGGCTAGTGCTCTGCCCCAGACTGAGTTCCTGAGGACAGGGACACCTACATGGGCTTTGACCCAGCCTTTTACTGTGTGTCCTGGACAGGCCTCAGCTCTCTCTCTGGGCAGTTGTCCTAGACCCAAATTCAGGGTCTAAGTGGAAAATGCAGGAAGCTGGATGTGGACAGAGCAGGCTGGAGGGTCTGAGCATCCCCTCAGCCCTCCTCGTTGCAGCCACCACCTAGGAATGTGGGCAGGTTGCTTTCTTCAGGTCGTCATAGTTTTTAGGGAAAGAGAAGTTAAAGAAATCTAGTTCTTTTTTTTTTTTTTTTATTTTTCCTTTAACGTTAGCAACTAATTTAAATAAAAAAAAAAAAACTTTCTGCAAATGCAAGTGTCTATAGACTGAGCAGAG